AGGACATACCTTGAATGAAGCGGGTGGCATCTTGGGAGGAACCTATGCTCGTCTCTTTCCCCCCAGGGATCCCCTCTAAGACGGGCCTGCCTTTATTTAGCTCCAAGGCCATGTCCTCTGCTGGGGTAAGGTCAGCCTTTGGTGACCCACCACCCGTGCCTTGTCTGTGGGTATTCTTTTTCACTGCTAAAACAGTACAGACAATGTGTGAGCAGGCACCTTCTGGGTACAATATATGCTTGTGCTTTGTTAAATATTAGTCAGGGACCATACCATTCTGCAGAATGTTCTTGTATTTGATTTTGACCTGCTGCCATGTCCGTTTTGGCCCGTTCATGTTTAATCTACACACACACACACACACACACACACATTTAATGGAGTCACACTGCAAAAAATTACTTGGTATTTTTGTCTTGTTTTCAGTAAAAATATCTAAAAATGTATCATAGCTTTATACAGTGTGATGGAGTTACTTTACACAATTTCACTCATATCTGCAGTGCATTTCAATTAAAAATTTAACCGTTTCATAATTACAGTACAACTGCATTTTTGGAGATGTGAATTAAATATTTGAATTGTAATTGTGATGTTTCAGCGGAGCGGTGAGTGTGTAATTGTGCACTACTTACGCATTCAGGCGGTCTGCAATACTTTGCCACGCTTTTTCTCTTTGCTTTATCACTGTGGCGGTGTTGCCTTTCTTCTTAATTATATCTTTTACCTCCTCGTATGCCTCCATGAGGATTTGTGCTTCCGACGGGGAAAAGTACGCGGCTCTAGTTGCCATGGTAAATCAGTTAATCTGTGATCTGTGGCGGGGTCTATTTGAGTGAGCCGTGAGCGCGCACCTATCCAGGATTGGTTTCACCTGGCTTAATGAATCCGTGTCTGCTCATCCTGGCTTGGTCTTTGTGCAACCAATTAAGCCTGGACGCACATGTTTTGGCTTCATTGAGCTCAGCTGAGTCATTTATCCCGGATGTCTTAATTCTACTTTTGTGCAACAGGCCCTAGGTCACACAGGGTGAGGGTCATGAGCTTTCAAAGTTTGTATTTACAATAGCTTGTTATAGCGCCACCATGTGGCCAATTGGCATGGCATTGCCTGAGAGAGTGTGGACTATGGACATTTACCATCATGGCTATTTACATCCTCCTAGACCTTACCATCTCAGAGGAATTTGCATGTTAATTTTCCGTGATTGAAGAACTGGAACAATAACAAATATGGCTGCCAGCAGCAATGTTGGGGTTCAGCTGTGTGCCCACTGTGCCACCATCAGGACAAATTGGACACATTGACCTAGGATGAGCTACTTCTGTACTGTTTAACACGCCTGCCAAATATCAGAACTCAACATCAAACAGATACATGCCATCAGAACTCAAAATCAAACTGTTGATGCAATAGAATATGCTTTTGATGTATTTTTGACAATTTTCAATGATGTTAACTACTTTAAACGTCTGCTTCTCCAGAACCGCTGGACCGATCTGAACAAAATTTGGTATATAGCATCTATGAATGCACACATTTTCCAAGACTCTAGCTGAAACAATACGGCTGCTATGAGCCAATGAGCTTGCATGAATGTTTTTTCCTGTCCAAACTCAACCACATTTTACAGGTTAGCTACACTCATATCCATATTTCATCACTCTGAGTCAAACAGATCAATATCAATAAAAATGTGCACGTTATAGCACCACCGTGTAGTCGATATGAATGTGCTTGAGTGTTGAGTCTTCACAGTGTTTGGAACATGTGTATCAAGTTCCGTTACAATACAAATATCTAAGACTGATTTAAATGCATTTATGTGACAGACCATGCCCACGTGAATGTTTATTTGTCAGTTGCAGCCATGTTGTTTTACATACTAGTATAGATTATAGTGCATTTACAGACCTTGATCATAGATGCTATATATCAAGTTTTATGAAGGTCGTCATTTGGTGCCAGAGGAGTAGTGTTTTTAAGTGTTTTTCACAAAATTCTAATTGCCGAAAAATCCATCATGGCAGACCTTATGGGTTCTTGAGCCACATTGTTTCCTTGTGAGGAGAGGGACCTATGTACCAACTTTTATGACTCTATATCACACAGGATGAGGGGCGTGAGCTTTCAAAATGTGCAGCACTTGCAAGATGATGTGATGGAGTCCTGACTGTTATTGAACTCAACCTGCAGGAGGCTTGTTGTGATTGATTGGGGGGAAACAGCTGTGGGTAAGGTTCTGACAGATGGGTGTGTCTTGGTGGTGGTAAGGTCACACCCAAGAAACTCCCACATCAAACCACACCCCCAAGCCAACTAACATCTGGCTTCTGTCATGGCCACCAGCATTTCTTGAGGAGCAAGCCAAAAAATGAGGCCAAATCAACGGGTGCAGTTCCCCTTACAACAGAACATGTAAGGTCCTTGTACTATAAAGAGTAACGTTAGGCTTATTATTGGGCTAGGTAAAGGTTAGCCCAAGATGTACTCTTAATGAGCCTACTGTTACTCCTGAAGGTCCAAGGAACTTACAGTTGAAGTCGGAAGTTTACATACACCTTAGCCAAATACATTTAAACTCAGTTTTTCACAATTCCTGACATTTAATCCTAGTAAAAATTCCCTTTCTTAGATCAGTTAGGATCACCACTTTATTTTAAGAATGTGAAATGTCAGAATAATAGTAGAGAGAATGATTTATTTCAGCTTTTATTTCATTTCTTTCATCACATTCCCAGTGGGTCAGAAGTTTACATACACTCAATTAGTATTTGGTAGCATTGCCTTTAAATTGTTTAACTTGGGTCAAACGTTTCGGGTAGCCTTCCACAAGCTTTCCACAATAAGTTGGGTGAATTTTGGCCCATTCCTCCTGACAGAGCTGGTGTGACTGAGTCAGGTTTGTAGGTCTCCTTGCTCGCACATGCTTTTTCAGTTCTGCCCACACATTTTCTATAGGATTGAGGTCAGGGATTTGTGATGGCCACTCCAATACCTTGACTTTGTTGTCCTTAAGCCATTTTGCCACAACTTTGGAAGTATGCTTGGGGTCATTGTCCATTTGGAAGACCCATTTGCGACCAAGCTTTAACTTCCTGACTGATGTCTTGAGATGTTGCTTCAATATATCCACATAATTTTCCTTCCTCATGATGCCATCTATTTTGTGAAGTGCACCAGTCCCTCCTGCAGCAAAGCACCCCTACAGCATGATGCTGCCACCCCCGTGCTTCACGGTTGGGATGGTGTTCTTCGGCTTGCAAGCGACCCCCTTTTTCCTCCAAACATAACAATGGTCATTATGGCCAAACAGTTCTATTTTTGATTCATCAGACCAGAGGACATTTCTCCAAAAAGTACGATCTTTCTCCCCATTTGCAGTTGCCAACCATAGTCTGGCTTTTTTATGGCAGTTTTGGAGCAGTGGCTTCTTCCTTGCTGAGCGGCCTTTCAGGTTATGTCGATATAGGACGTGTTTTACTGTGGATGTAGATACTTTTGTACCTGTTTCCTCCAGTATCTTCACAAGGTCCTTTGCTGTTGTTCTGGGATTGATTTGCACTTTTCGCACCAAAGTACGTTCATCTCTAGGAGACAGGACGCGTCTCCTTCCTGAGCGGTATGACGGCTGCGTGGTCCCATGGTGTTTATACTTGCGTACTATTGTTTGTACAGATGAACGCGGTACCTTCAGGCATTTGGAAATTGCTCCCAAGGATGAACCAGACTTGTGGAGGTCTACAATTTGTTTTCTGAGGTCTTGGGTGATTTCTTTTGATTTTCCCATGATGTCAAGCAAAGAGGCAATGAGTTTGAAGGTAGGCCTTGAAATACATACATACAATTTGAATGACTCCAACCTAAGTGTATTATAAACTTCCGACTTCAACTGTATGTGTACATTTATTTTGCAACGCTCGCGCTCGCGACGCGGGCGGTGTGCCAGCATGTTATGTGTAATGTAATGGAACTGGGTTATGATCAAGGGCTAGGTAGAGGTAGACACATTGGTCTACCAATTTTCTCTGTAATGAAACAAAATATCAAAATACAGTTTTAGTGATCAACTACAATCACAGAAAGAGTGAAAATAAGTCTACATATACCAATTGGTGAACTTCCCCTTTAAGACGGTTGCTTGCTTGCTTGTCACTTCCTGAATTTAGGTTATGATTGTCTGTGATATAGTGGTATGAATACATTACGTAGTTACAGGTGTCAAGTTTATGAGCATGTGCCAGCAGTTTGTAGGAGGGAGGTTCCTAGGTGTGAGAAGTGTGCAGAAGGGCATGAGACAAAGGAGTGTGTAGCATTGGGGAAAGTAGTGGTATGTGTTAATTGTAGGGGTGCCCATGGGGCTGGGGATCAGAAATGTCCCATGCGAGAGAGGCAGGTTGAGGTTTCCAGGGTTAGAGTAGTACAGAAGTTGTCATATGCTGAGGCAGTGAAGAAAGTAGAGGAAGATGGGTAAAGGGGGAGGGATCCTGAGAGGAGTGGTGTGAGTAGTAGATCTGTACCAGTACAGAGGGATAAACCAACAAGTGATATTTGTTTCAATAAGATTGATTTTTTTGTCATTTATAGCAGTGGTTATCAACTGTACTGCAGGGATGGAATGTAAGTCACAGAAAATAGAGGTTGTGGTGGCAGCTGCAGAGAGGTATTTGGGTGTGCGAGACTTAACATCAGAAGAGTTACAGGGTGTGTTAAGTGGCGGTGTCCCCATCCTTTCAGACTGTTGGCCTGAAGTAGGACTAAATAGATTTAAATAGTGGAGTATGGTATTTATTATTATTTTGAAATGTTTTTTGAGTGTAGTGTTAGATGGTAGGGTATTAGTATTATTATTATTTAATTTTTTGTAAAAAAGTTTTTGTGTGTTTTTTTAAGCAAAGTATATGGGAGTTAAACTCCAGTCTAATAGGTGGCGGTAATGCAACATGTATTAGACGCCAACCACAGTTAAACCGTTTCGAAGAAGAAGAAGAAGAAGAAGATATAGTGGCATGTTTATCAGCTCCTCGACCACAAAGCAAGCTATACAAAGATATTGGAGTGACTTTCGCTACCAATAAAAAGTGAAGACAACCATTTGCTGAAGGCTTGCCTTGACACTAACTATGGACTGTTGGGTAAGTAAATAATATACCCAGATGCATTTTCTTTCTCTAAGTAGCCTACATGGTATTGAATAAATGTACAATTAGCTTGAGCCATGTAGCTAACTCCGTGTGTCAAAAAGCATACGAGCAGTAGGTCTTGCTGACAAATTATTTACATTATAATCAGGATGTTTACAGTGTTGCTGCAACCTATAGCCAAGTGAAGTGTCTAGAACAGTGGAGTGAGAGAAGTTTGCCTACACAATCATGTTGCTTGCCCTGGAGCGCTACAATGTTGCCATCGCTCGCGCATTGTTACGGTGATTATAGCACGGATTATTGACTTACTATTTGAATAACCACCCCGGCATTTATAATTATTTTGAGGTCGAACCTTTTTCAAGTGTGAGGATCATTTTCTTTAGGGTAGTTTTTATTTTGAATACATTCAGAGGGAATAATGTGGCATAACAACAAATAGAAATTAAGAATCTGATATGGAAACATCTAGTATCATCAAAGACATCGATTTTTATGCAGACCTCTTCTAGAGGTGTTGATTCTTGTAAACAACATTTTGTCTTATTAACTGCCTCAACAACCATTCACACTTTTAGGCATAGCCTTCTAGTTGTAGATTTGATTTGATTTTATAACCCCCGCATTTGCAGTATAATGCAGGGTGTTATTACATTTATTAGAGTGAATAGCTGGCCAAATACATTCTAGAAATGGGTTAAAACTATCAAACATTTCAGTGTTCTTATTATGGAGTATACCATCATTATCACTCTCGCTTGATAGGTTTTGACCCACAAAATCACTGCAGGCAAATCTCCTTTGCAGTGATTGAAGGCAAAGACAGGGAGGTTTACACTGTGATTTCCACACTGAGCCTCATTTTACTGTACTGCACTGTACTGCACACTGTCTATCATTAAACTTCCTGTTTAACACAAACCTACTATGTGGCTATACGGTGGATACAGACATCAGCAGCCACACATGTTTGTCTTTGGACATCAGTACCTTCAACACTTCTTTTGCCATGGAACTTTGCTTTTTTATCACTTGCACAGCACTATATCAGCTAGGTCATAGTGAATGTAGCCTCCAAACCCAGACACTAAAGGCAAGGAAATTTCACGGATTTGCTCAGTTTTGTAAATTCCCAGAAACCACTCTTCATGAGGTGTGTTGTACTCTACTCTACTGTATTTTAAACCCCGACTCTATTACGGTCATACAGTGAATCCAGTCGACATTAAATGAGAAGAAAAGGAAATGCTCCAAAACCACTAAAGTGATTCTGCATAATCAAATGCATAGTACAATGTGGAATGTTATGCATGTTACTGCGAAGTCTGGCGATTATAATGGATATTTGCTTAAGTATTGCACACGCTCAGATGTTGGTATTTGACATGATTATTTGAATATTGTGTAATTTCCGTAAGATACAGACCTAAGAATTCATAGAATGTGTTTGCCAAACCAGTGTTGATACTAATGTCATTAAAATTATTGGGTGGACCGCATTAGCGTTTTTTCGGGTCGCCTAAGTCCAAACAGTGTAAAAAATAAACAAAAATGAAATTTATTTTCGGGATGGAAAAACGCTTCCAGTGTAAACTTAAACGACTAAAACCAGATTTTAAAAAAGTATGTAGAAAAGATAATGGATATCTATATGTTTTTATAATATCATTTTTGAGAACTAACAATCACCAAAATAAAAGCTAGACAGTCATGGAGAATAACAAATTCCAAAAACAATTTATTTAGCAGTATTGATTTTGTTATTATGTTTGAGCAAAGAAACACAGCATTAGCCATGACAACATGCATTGAATTGCAGGAAATTGGTGTAGAAATGCACAAAAAAAAATCTCTACACCACCAACATTGGGGCCTCTAAAAATATCATCTAAGTTCAGCCACGCTTACGGGCTAACCGCAGCCATTGCCACGCCCACCACCTAAGCCTCTTTTTGAGCCAGAACAAACTCTGAGTGTGTGTGTTATAACACTGTTTTCCCCTTGATGTCTTCCATAACAGTAGCCTCCTCCTCACACCCAGTACATTTCCAGGATAAATATGACCTCCCCTTGGAGACAACAAAGGTCTCCTTACACAATACTGCTGGCCTGGGAAACCAGGGGCATGGGCGTCTACACAACAGGGATAACAAAATAGGCCGCTACAGCTTTCCTAATACAAAGACGGCCGCAACAAATGTTTTGTAACAGGGAAAGTAGATTATTTGACAAATGTCAGAAGGAAATGTGTTGGATAACTTGGAGTATGTACACTGAGTGTACAAAACATTAGGAACACCTTCCTAATATTGAGTTGCACTGCCTTTTGCCCTCAGAACAGCCTCAATTCGTCGGGGCATGGACTCTACACGGTGTCAAGCGTTCCACAGGGATGCTGGCCCATGTTGACTCCAATGCTTCCCACAGTTGTGTCGAGTTGACTGGATGTCCTGTGGGTGGTGGACCATTCTTGATACACATCGGAAACTGTTGAGCATGAAAAACCCAGCAGCGTTGCAGTTCTTGACACACAAACCGGTGCGCCTGGCACCTACTACCATACCCCGTTCAAAGGCACTTAAATATTTTGTCTTGCCCATTCACCCTCTCTAAATGGCACACCATACACAATCAATGTCTCAATTGTCTCAATGCTTAGAAATCGTTCTTTAACCTGTCTCCTCCCCTTCATTTACACCGATAGAAGTGGATTTAACAAGTGACATCAATCAGGGATCATAGCTTTCACCTGGATTCACCTTGTCAGTCTATGTAAAGAAAAGAGCAGGTTTTCCTAATGTTTTGTACACTCAGTATTTGTGGCGAAGGGTTCATGTACCTGTTGCATCAGGACTTGCCTTTTGCCCTGACGCAAGATGACAAAATGAAATCTCCAGTTTATGGAAGATGAAAACTGAGATTTGGCACTGGACGCTCAGCTCTGCTGTCTGTGCTACAGAAGCACTGAACTCAAAGGGTACTACAGCTTTTGCATACATATTTCAGAGACCTGAGTCCTGACAAAATGTTTATTACACCATTTAAGATGGGCAGTGAAGCCTAATCTTATGATAAATCATTCAGATTAGCTGCCCATCTGAAACCTGGCCGCTGCTGGTCACATGGTATGGTTCTTTCGTTGCTCCCGACTCTGCTCTACTTGGCAAACCTGTCGGAGAGCATGTAACACAGACAAGTAGACCTAACAACTGTCGTCAGGGGGTGTATTCTTGTCATTGAATGGCAAAGCTTCCATTCAGGTTCATTCATTGTAGAATTTGGGTTTGTCATTACGCAAAGACACAAAGGCTCCATCTGTAAACTGTCAGTACTCTTTATTACGTGAACCTTTTGTTTATGTCATACGGTTGGTATTTAGTTTGCTGTGACTTTACTAGACCTGGAATGATGTGAATCCACTTAAGCAATTAGTCATTCAGTCAGTTGAAGCCTAGCCTACATTTCAAACAAAGTGACTCAGTGTTTACATTGCATGGGCTCCCGAGTGGCGCAGCGGTCTAAGGAACTGTATTTCAGTGCTTGAGGCGTCACTACAGACCCCCTGTGTCACAACCGGACGTGATTGGGAGTCCCATAGGGCGGCGCACAATTGGCCCAGTGTCGTCCGGGTTTGGCCGGTGTAGGCCGTTATTGTAAATAAGAATTTGTTCTTAACTGACTTGCCTAGTTAAATAAAGGTTAAATAAATAAATACAATAAAAATTACATTGCAAACAAATACTCTGCGTTTAGAATGGTTAGTGTGCATAATGTCATGGGAATGCATCACCAGTACCTTATATTTCCCCCCCAAAGCATTATGTGATGTTAGTTTCAGTGGTTATGAATAGTGGTTATACAAGTTACTGTCCTGTGGACCTTAAGCTTTTCTCTATCTGATTACAGTGAACCTTTATGGAAACAATCTTTATTGTTATCAAGCAGACAAGCATAATGTTGTAAAAACCAGTAATCTAGAGATGATAGTGAAGAGAGAATAGATATGCTCATTTTTACTGCATTTATGAAATTAATGACATTAAGCCTATTTCAGGTTTAAAAATAGGTTTAATTTGTCAAATGCAAATATGATATGAGCAGTTGGTACTTACTGTACTTTTTATTTGGAATACATTAGTGACACTTCAATCAGTGTTCACAGATTGAGCTTTTGAGTCTCCTGAGTGGCGCAGTGGTCTAAGGCACTGCATCGCAGTGCTAACTGTGCCACTAGAGATCCTGGTTCGTATCCAGGCTCTGTCGCAGCCGGCCGCGACCGGGAGACTCATGGGCGGCGCACAATTGGCCCAGCGTCGTCCAGGGTAGGGGAGGGAATGGCCGGCAGGGATGTAGCTCAGTTGAGGGTTGTGGGTTTGATTCCCACAGGGGGCCAGTATAAAAAAATATATGTATTCACTAACTGTAAGTCGCTCTGGATAAGAGCGTCTGCTAAATGACTAAAATGTAAATGTAAATAATGAACTTGTGCAGTAGCATGTTATTGCACTTCCTCTGTACTGTAATTTGTTTGGAGAGGAACGGTTTCTCCTCTCCATTGGCTACAGATGTTATGTCTAAAGGGTGATAGGGGCAGAGTCTAGTCATTCCTCCACCTCACCTGGTCCTGGTTCAGGAATATTATCTACCTGTCAGTTCTAGTCACGTTCTCTCTCTCTGACCAAATTTCACAACTGCAATTGTGCTGTGTTTCTACAGAGCAATTGAAATCTAAACATAGCATGATGACAGTCTTCTGGTGTAAATACTCATCATAAGTAGACTTGTTATTACCTGTTGGACATTGTATTCCCACTTTCACAAAGATTTAGTTGACGGATTGTGTGCGGTGTGTGGAACTGTATATGATGGAAAGTGTGATGAACATGTCAATTGATTACGAGGTAGGCTAATTGCATTGTAACTTGTGTGTTTTGACTTTTTTCCATTTCAATTTTGTGCATGGGATGTGAAGCTGCTATTGGGCCCATGATTACTCATGTGAATAATTGACCATGATGTGCGGAGACAGTCAGTGTCTCTGATGTCCATGTTGGGACATGTTTCTGTCTAGTACTGTTGTGATCATATAACCTCTTTTTTTAAGGGGAAAATATTCAACCCAAAGCAAGACACTGTAGGATGAAAGCTTTACTTTGATATGATCTTTAAAACAAAGTGTATGTTTAGTCATGACCATTTTATTTCTTATTCTCAGCAGTTTTATCTATATGCATGTAGTCCTCAGAATCCTCCAGGAAATCCTGACACGTTGCATAGCAGTACAGATGGATCTACAATTGTTATACCATTGTTCATTTGCAATGTAATCCCTCTATGTTCCTAGAGTGCCTTGGAGGTGTACAAGGAGATGCTGTTGCTCTACCTGGACGAAGGCAGGCAGCTTGTGAACACCAACTGTGAGGAGCTGGAACCATGGCAGATCATTGGAGCCACTCTCATCTCGACCTTAGGAGCAGTCTGGGTCAAAGGCTTCCTGTTTCAGCAAGAAAGTACGTTTTCAGATTCAGTAATAAGGCATGTCTTTATTCTATGCATGGATAAAAAGTGATGAGTGGGTGTTCTTTGTGTTCTACATTATGGGAAGTGGTTTTTGGTTTAATCAGACATGCTGCTTCATGATTCTTTACCAGTCTGAGTAAGTGTGCACTTATTCACTTCCCCTCATGGATTTAAATGCCCGGTGTAATAATATGGTATAAACTCTCTCTAGCTCATGCTTACGTCAATCCAATGCTTGTAAATGTGTTGGGTGAGGTGCTCAAGTGTAGACTGGTAGAGACTTGGCGAATTGGGATGCAGGGAAGGTGTCAGCATTAAAACACAAGTATGGCAGGGATTGACATTAAGGTCTGAACGGCACAGTCAGGAGTATTTTGGGGTTGACTGAAGATTATGGCTACTTGCTTGAAGTAGCTATTTTTGCCTACACACAGGGGAGGAACCAGAAAGACCAGACTATGGGAATTCTTTGCCTTTTAGTTGTTATCAGTAAAAGTAAAAAAAAAATCACCTGCCCAATGGGGCAACCTCAGAGCAGGCTCAACTTGCACGACTGCTCAGATCACTTGCCCTGGGCAATAGGGCAACCCTTAATGTCAATCCCTGTATGGCCTTGAATACTTCTTACTGATACCATTGTGAGCAAAGATCAGATGACATAACAATCTCTGTGATCAGTTAAAGCACTTTATGGAGAGTGGTTTTTGGTTTAATCAGACGTGTCCTGCCCAGCAATTTTAAATCTGTTTGAACTTGAAGTTGCTATTTTTCTTCTTGCTCCACACTTTAGTTAGGCTCTCTTTGTGCAGTACATGTGTTTTACAGCGGTTTTACAGCTATTACAAGTGACCTAGCCATGTCATACATGTTAGTGTTCCCACTGATGTTTTGTGTGTTTTCTAGAATTCCACAGATGAGTGATATTCATATTCCAAATCAGTGGAAATTACGATTCGTTTTTTTGTTGTTGATGGCATTAACTGGCTGTACACATCATCTCATTTGGCAGGAATGTTGGCAGGAAACTGTGTTCCAGTATTAGCTTGTGGGCCAGCTGTTGGCCTTTTTGATTTGTCTGTCATCTCCAATCAGCTGTTTTATTCATCAAAATGTCCCCATTTGAATTCAGCTTGTGGTTTTCTCCCGTGCTCATCTACCATTCTTTCAACACAATCGTCTCTTTCTTTGTTGCTTAATAGCCCTGACATCCCGAATCAAGAAGCAGTGCTTCCGGCTCGTCAGAAAAATACCTTTTGTTGGCGCGGCAGTAAGTTTCAAGCAGTATTTTGTTCCTCTATTCTACAGATGTGGTCTTTCTTGTCTAGTGTGGTATGAGTCACTCACTGATGACTGAGTGTCGGCATGAGGGCGAGGGAGGAGGGGGATGAGACCTTTGACACAGTTTACATCATGGACTTGTGATAATGCTGGGTTACTGTTGGTCATTACTGTCTAACCTAACGGAATGACTAAACTGTATTTGGATTGAACTGAAGAGTGTGAATAGGCAACACTTTAATCAGATGGGTATACACATTTACATAACTGATTTTGCATAGCTTATTTTAAATGCTCTCTAGCCACAAATATTTGTCTAGCCCAGATCTTCCTGGTTTGCAATCACCCAGTGTTGTAGTACTCGAGACCTGTCTCGAGACCACATTTTGAGTGTCTCGGTCTTTTCTCGGTGTCGGATACATTTGTACTCGGTCTTGACTCTGTCTAGGACAGTGAGGACAATTTCTTCCCAAGACCAGCGGAGTAAAAAACTCATAATTATCAGCTTCCATTCAGTTATCGCATAAAACCGCTTCGCCAGGTAAAATACTGTATATTACTCCTTTCTTGAAACATTAATACTTGCAGTCTTTAAATCTATTAGAGACATGTTTGCTCAGTGGTGAACCTATTGGACCTAGGCCTTCAGTGTGTGACATGTTCGTGATGCTGAAAGGACAGCAATGTTAATACCAGCACACTCATGAAGGAGAGTGCACTTTTTGTAAAACACAAAGGGCCAGTGGCGTAGTGGAGGCTATACGCAGATATACGCCGTATACACACTTTTTTTATGGGCATTGCGTATACTCACTACTTAATCCCTACTGATGCGTATCAAAGTAGTGTAGTGGAGGTATACGACTTATCAATTATGTAGTATAATAGAAAAATCATGCACAAAGTAGCCTACACACTCGCAAAGCACGTGATATACACTACCGTTCAAAAGTTTGGGGTCACTTAGAAATGTCCTTGTTTTCGAAAGAAAAGCCATTTTTTTTGTCAATTTTAAAATAACATCAAATTTATCAGAAATACAGTGTAGACATAGTTAATGTTGTAAATGGCTATTGTAGTTGGAAACGGCTGATTTTTAATGGGATATCTACATAGGCGTACAGAGGCCCATTATCAGAAACCATCAGTCCTGTGTTCCAATGGCACATTGTGTCAACAGTGAAGAGGCGACTCCAGGATGCTGACCTTCTAGGCAGAGTTGCAAAGAAAAAGACAAATCTCAGACTGGCCAATAAAAAGAAAAAATTAAGATGGGCAATAGAACACAGACACTGGACAGAGGAATATTGGGAAAAAAAAGTGTTATGGACAGAAGAATCGAAGTTTGAGATGTTCGGATCACAAAGAAGAACATTTGTGAGATGCAGACCAAATGAAAAGATGCTGGAGGAGTGCCTAATGCCATCTGTCAAGCATGGTGGAGGCAATGTGATGGTCTGGGGGTGCTTTGGTGGTGGTAAAGTGGGAGATTTGTACAGGGTAAAAGGGATCTTGAAGAAGGAAGGCTATCACTCCATTTTGCAACGCCATGCCATTCCCTGTGGCGGCGCTTGATTGGAGCCAATTTCCTCCTACAGCAGGACAATGACCCAAAGCACAGCTCCAAACTATGCAAGAACTATTTAGGGAAGAAGCAGTCGGCTGTTATTCTGTCTATAATGGAGTGGCCAGCACAGTCACCGGATCTCAACCCTAATTGAGTAAGAAGTGCCCATCAAGCCAATCCAACTTGTGGGAGGTGCTTCAGGAAGCATGGGGTGAAATCTCTTCAGATTACCTCAACAAATTGACAACTAGAATGCCAAAGGTCTGCAAGGCTGTAATTGCTGCAAATGGAGGATTCTTTGACGAAAGCAAAGTTTGAAGGACACAATTATTTCAATTAAAAATCATTATTTCTAACCTTGTCAATGACTACATTTCCTATTCATTTTGCTATATTTCCTATTCAAACTAGTTTCATGTATGTTTTCATGGAAAACAAGGTCATTTCTAAGTGACCCCAAGCTTTTGAACGGTAGTGTAAATTCACGTGCCGCACACACAGCCTAGTTTCAGCAGAATATCATCTGCAGGCAGAAAGAGCTCACAGCTCACAACTGGTTTTGGCATGGAGCAGCACACAGAAGAATGACATTGGTAGCCGGTAGGGTAGGTAGGAAAGACGTTTCAATTTATGATATCTACCAGTAAATGCTAACTAAGGCAACAATGGGTATGCAAACCAAGTCTTGGTTAGTAGGCTATTTGTGTTGCGCAATTCAGTCATCATGCCCTGTTTGCATCAGGGGTGGACTTAGAACATCACATAAAAAAGTGTGATTTTGAGAGTGCAAATCTGAAAACAATATAGGAAAACTAATTTGTAAGAAAACATAGGATTTTTCACACAGGGTGCCTTTCCTTCGCTGGGCAGGCCGTTTGGGATTTCTTTAGCAAAATTAGAGTATACCCACTTCGCCAGACACCACTGCATAGGGCCGATGGAAAGACAGCACTCACACACAGCATGATGTTAAAGGATAAGCAGTCAATTCACTCGGCTATAATAAGCCAATAGGTCCCAATCATAAGAATACAAAAACACAACCATTAAGCATTTCCTAATCTAAATGTAGAAGTATTACTTCCCATTGCAAAAAACATTTCACGTTTAGCACAAAAAGTAACTGGTGACCTAAAGTTTAAATGCAACAATGTTTCACACAAGTTATTTTCAAAGAGATGGCTAACTTGGGCTCCCGAGTGGCGCAGCTGTCTAAGGCACTGCATCTCCGTGCTAGAGGCGTCGCTACAGACTCTGGTTCGATTCCAGGCTGTATCACAATCCAGCCATGATTGGGAGTCCCATAGGGCGGTGCACAATTGGCCCAGCGTCGTCCAGGTTTGGCCAGGGTAGGCCGTCATTGTAAATAAGAATTTCAACAGCAAGCGAGCTCCAATAACAAATCCTGATTGGATATTTATTTCGCTTCAGTGTTAACCCTTTCCTTTCCAACAAAAACTGAAGAGATTAAATCAGAACACAATTGAAAAGAATAATGTAATTAGAATTATTATTATTATTATTTATTTACTTCTGAAATATGAACACAGAAATACTGGACTTTTTGGACACTTGTTATGGTAGTGATTTGACAAAATTACAATCATGGTCTTGAATTGAACTCGCATTTTTCTGGTCTCGGTCTTGACCTGCTCTCGGACCCCTTGTTCCCCTCCCTGTCTCAGTCTTGACTCGGACTCGATTTACTCCGATCTTGGTCTTGAATTGGTCTCGCTTTAGGTGGTCTCGAACAAAACACTGCTATCACCTATACTTTCACAAAAACAACTAGCCAGTTTTGATTGCTTTCATTGATTTTCAATATTTTCAAGAACACTTTTAGATAAGTTGTCAATGCCCGAGTGTTATAGCCTAAACATTCTCAATGCCATAATGGGTCACTGCTTCTAGGAAATGGTTTGTTGTCTGAGCAGTGATGTGTGTAATGTGACTGACTCAGTGTCTCTTTGTGACAGATCCAGACCCAGCTGAACAAGGCCCTGGATGACATGTCTGTCAGTCTTTGCACACTGAAGGAGGGTATGAGCTACATCAAACAGCTGCCTGAACAAGGGCTAACCCAAGTTGAAGTTCTAGACAGGATCAGCGAGTACGAAACACTGAGTAAGTGGCTGAGAGTTGTCCCAGGGCGTGTTTTGGAGTGTGTTTTCTATGTTGTTTCTGGGGCCGATGAGCTACAGTGCCCTACTGCCCTAATATATGTTGTATTGGCTAGACTCTAGAAAATGAAACATTAGCTAAGTTTCCATCCAATTGGCGACAGATTTTCATGCGAATATTCTAAAATCTGTATGTTAAAAAATGAGCATTTTCCCACCAGAGATGTTTCCCTCAAATTGACTTGTTGCAGATAAAAGGCTGTGCGTGATGACGTAGCGCACTTAAAAATACCTTTGCGATTATATTCCCATGTACTGAAAAAAGGAAAGGAAAATGGGTTTCCATTGCATTTTCAACTCTACTGATGGTTTTCTCACACAGATTTTAGCTTTATATAGCGAGTGTGCCCTATAGTCTACATGTTCACATTATTATGGACAAAAGAGCAAGATTATTTGTATTTGTCAAACATTAGCCAAGCATTGACGATCATGTCACCAGAATAAGACCCTGGATATTTATTGGAAAGGAGCGTCAAGCTCATCACCTTGCACTTTCATCACCCTGTGAAGTTCATCATAACTTATTTAATCTGTAGCCTAATAAACTGCATGCTTTCCCAACGAGTGGTAGTGGGAGGACCACACAACATGTCATAGCATGACTCCACATTTCTATATGACGGTTATTATATCAATATTTGCGCATAAAAGCGTTTTCACTGACATTTCTCGCATTATTAATTTTACAGACACAAAAAGATCCCCCCTTGTCTATAGCGTATTTTGTTTTGTCTACATTTTTCAGGCCTGTCATGAAGTTTTTTATCGGACATGTACTTTACTCACATAAAGAGGTTGGATGGAAACCTGGTTAATTAATAAGTTGCTTTGGTTCTAGACCGCTTTGTTCTTCTTCTGTGGAGCCATAATACAATTGAATGACATAATAATTATGGCTTATTATGGAGCCAATGACCTACAGTGCCTTTTTGTATTGACTACTTTTATCCTAGAATATGTGAAAAAAAAATGTTTAAGTGTGCCTGCTACACAGGGTGTTTTAGCATTGTTTTTATTTGTAGTGAAAGCTGATGTGGAGTTACAGTATATAGTTGTTTCCTGAGGCATTGCTGTTGTCTGCTCTTCATAGATGAAGTGGATTGGGAGAAAGGACGAGTGTCAGGTGCAGTATACTGGGGAGATCAGACACTTACCAAACTTTTGGTGAAGGTATGTCTAGTCCACAAACAACCCGTTTTTGGTTTTGTCTTGAATTCTTTGGATGAACAGTCAAGTTAAACTTCTGTGTTTAGTATTCTGAGTCATACTTTTTCCCGAAAATGTGGAATTTAGAACTCATACTACAGTCAGAATATGCCTTGTTTGTATGACAAATCCCATAGCTTACAGATTCTCTTTGATATTCTTCCTTTTGTCGCTAGGTGTATGGAGACTTTGCATGGAGCAACCCACTTCACCCAGACATCTTTCCTGGTGTGAGGAAGATGGAGGCAGAGGTTGTGAGAATGACGTGTACCCTCTTCAACGGTGGGCCCAACACATGTGGCACAGTGAGTTTACCTTCAGTACTCCCACAAGACTCACTGACCCAGGGCTTGGGAAATGTTCTACTTGAGGGAATAACCAAAACCTATGCACTGGCACATTCTGAACACTGATTGTTCCTGTTGTTTCTGCTTTGTTCAGGTCACCTCAGGAGGAACTGAAAGCATATTGATGGCATGCAAGGCGTACAGAGACATGGCCTATGAGCGCGGTGTGAAACATCCTGAAATGTAAGTTCACTGTCAACATGTAGCCTCAGATTATTTTTCTTTAAACTGGCACACCAGATGATCTTAGAACAAGCTTGATTTGCATTGTTGAGATGTTTTCTGTCTCATAATGGTAATATCACCTGTGAAAGACATTTTATACAGTACTGGGAATAATTAGTGTTGTATTTCCTCCCCTAATTTTGCAGCATTGCACCAGTCAGTGTCCATGCAGCCTTTGACAAAGCAGCAAACTACTTTGGAATGAAGCTTGTTCACATCCCCCTGGACAAAAAGACAATGAAAGTGGATGTTAAGGTGCAAATATTTATTAGTTCCTATACAAATGGTTATTCTAAAGAATAACTTGACTGGAAAGTCAGTCAGTGCTCAACACACGCTGAAAGGGTCAGAGTAAATGTAAGTTTGTTGGTGTACAAATTCCCAATTGAACTGTAGCCTTGACCCCAGCCTAGTCTAGGTAACAAGAATATGGTGTCTGGCACTTCCGTTACTGATTGGGGATCACTTCCTCAGTTTGGACTGTTCAAGATTAAGACATGACCACAGTAGTTACAAAAAACATGGTGGCAACAACTAGGGCTGTTGCGGTGACTGTATTACTGCCACACCGGCGGTCACGAGTCATGAAGGCAGTCAAATTCCACATGACCGTTTAGTCACGGTAATTAGGCTTCTCCAAGCTCTGATGCTGCTGATGGTCATTAGTAGGTTACCAAACTTGCTAACTGCCTGGTACTCAGCACTCTATTGTCCCTCTAATCACTCTGACATCAATGCAAATGTCTTCGAAAATCTAATCAAACACTTCATGAGAGCCCATGAGCTCATGTTGCGCAACATTTCTATAGGCTATGCAATTGCTGGAGAAAAAGTGATGGCAGCTAATAGAAAAAGGAGAATCCCATCAGCTTTCTATAGGCTAGGCCTAATATATTTATTTCTCAACTTTCCTAATATTAAGCATATTGCTCATATTTACAGCAGGAGTATAGCCTACCTGGCTGGCATGAAAATAAACCATGGGGAAAAGCGTCCTCCATTCGCTGTTTATGTGCATAGATGACACATATTTTTTCCCGCTGCCCGTTTCGATACAGGTGCATGATAATGGTCCATTCTAAATCAAAACAAATCACACATATATTATTTAGTGTATGTAAAGACGAGATTAAATCAAGAATAGTCTGATGGGTGACAATATTAGCCTATCACTTGTGAATTATATATTATCACTTGTGAATTATATATTATCACTTGTGAATGATGCCTAGCATAAAAAACAATGCCTTTTTTTTGCGACTTGTTCGAATCATAGTCGCACACCTTATGTAGCCTAGCCCATAGGCCTATATGTTTTAATAAGGTTTGTATCACAACTAAAGTGGCCAAAAAACGTCTTAAAATTAAGCACATTAATCCGCTTTACAAGGGGTATAGAGCCTAACTTGCATATAAAAGCAGCGCTTGAGTTTCAAGTTTGGGGAAGATCATTTTCACCATAAAAATGCACCTTTATAATAAAAGCATTACATGCATAATTGCATTTGCGGTCACTTTTGATAATGGTGTTTTCCCACTAATGGAACATTTGCGCTTATAGCCTACTACCATGTGTGCATTGCTGCGCTTATAATGTGAAGAAATAGCCTAATAGTTTATCAACATTTTAAGCTAAACAGATCAGAACGTCAAATTGCTTGTGACCATTGTGAATGAGAGACTATTGGAGTGTGTACAGCCTGCTCAAAAAGCAAAGCAGAGCTCATGCCTTTCAAGCAACTTTTTTCAAATCATTAGTCTCATCATGCAGCCTTACAATGTATTAAAAATCAAAACATATAGCCCAACGTTTGTAGAACAACTAAAGTTACATGAATAACTCCAAATTAAGCATATAGGAGTACCTATTTCTTTGTTAACCGCTCAACACAGAATAGCCGCATGTGCACACTCCCTCAAATCGTTTGGAGTAAATATTTATATTTTATTCAGCTTTGTTCAATTGTGTTCTTCATACTATAAAATAATAAAAATTAATGCCACGGAATTATAAGCAAATCTTGTCTGCTAAGTGAACTAGTGTAGCCCACAGCCATTTGGCACAGCCACATCAGGACCTAACATAAGGACAACTCAGAGTATGCTATTATTTTCTTCTGAAATGGATAATGGATTTATTGTGAAGGTGTAGGCTATATTACATGGATTTATTCAACTTTTTAAAATGGCTTGTAGGCTATGTGTGGAAGCCAGGAGATGCTAAATGTGTTTATGTTCATTAACGGTCAATTACTGTGAGACCGACAGTTATTTGCTTGACAATCACCGGTTGACAAAATTACGTGACCACCACAGCCCTAGCATCAACTAGAATTACTGGTTCTTAGTGAGCATAGATGAGACTTATCATCACCCGAATCATTTGTCTTAAAGCAATATCGTGACACCTTCAACTCCTTATAACTCCAACTTGTTTTGTATAGGCTATGAGGAGAGCCATCAGCAAGAACACAGCCATGCTTGTATGTTCTGCACCCCAGTTCCCCCATGGAATCATTGATCCTATTGAGGAAGTAGGAAAGGTAAAGTGTCTCATTGTTATGTACTTCTAATAGTAAAAGGAAAGTCATAGTAAGTAAAAACTAAATAAAGTGGTATTGCTTAAAGGCCCAGTGCAGTCAGAAATGTTCCTTTGTTTTATATTTATATGTTCACACTGAGGTTGGAATAATACTGTGAAATTGTGAAAATAATGATAATGGCCTTTTAGTGTAGAGGCTGTTTTGAAAAGGCCGCCTGAAATTTTTGCCTTTTTTGGTGGGATGGAGTTTTGGCCTTCCATGGCGACATCCCCATATGGTAAATTAGTTAATAGACCAATAACAAAGAGTTCCAAACCTCTCTGCCAATAACAGCAATTTTTCAGTTTTCCCTCCCCACTCAGACCACTCCCAGATAGTCGTAGCAAAATTCTTGCTTGAGAAATTGCTCTTTGCTAGGAAGCAATTCTTTTTTTATTTTTGACAATTTTTCACAATCACAGTAAGGTACTTAATGTTACCCAGAAATGATTTGATATTGAAACAAAAACGGCTGCATTGAATCTTTAACTTTAAGTTGCTTGTATACCTGTGTAGTAACACTGTAATTACTACAATAACATTGTTGTTGCATAGTACTTTACATGAAACTACGTAATCCATCCCACGTGGTGCTTTTCAGATGGCTTTAAAGTACAACCTCCCTCTGCATGTGGATGCTTGTTTGGGAGGGTTTCTCATCGTGTTCATGGCCAAAGCCAATTACCCACTGGCTCCCTTTGACTTCAGGGTAAAGGGTGTGACCAGCATATCTGCAGACACACACAAGGTAAGAGGGTTTTTTAAACATTTTCTCCCTCTTGATTTTCGATCATAAGATGCTCATTGTTCCATAAACTTGTCGTTTTTTGGTTATTGTGTTAACCAGTCAACACAATAACCAGTTATGGTGTTGACTAAGTATTGTTTTTTGATCTACCTCTACTCTCCAGTATGGCTACGCCCCCAAAGGTTCATCAGTGATCCTGTATAGTGACAAGAAGTACAGGCACTACCAGTACTTTGTGGCTCCGGACTGGCAGGGGGGCATCTATGCGTCCCCATCAGTGGCAGGTTCTCGGCCAGGCGGTATCATCGCAGCGTGTTGGGCTACCATGATGCACATGGGAGAGGATGGCTACATAAAGGCCACCAAGAAGATAATTGACACTGCACGCACCATCAATACAGAGTAAGAGACCCAACTTTTACTGTAGTCATTATCGGCAGAACCCTGATTTCCGGCTTTCTCACTTAACAAGACTTGGATGTATGGTAAAGCGAGACTATTATTACAGTGGGGGAAAAAGTATTTAGTCAGCCACCAATAGTGCAAGTTCTCCCACTTAAAAAGATGAGAGAGGCCTGTAATTTTCATCATAGGTACACGTCAACCATGACAGACAAAATGAGGAAAAAAATTCCAGAAAATCACATTGTATGATTTTTTATGAATTTATTTGCAAATTATGGTAGAAAATAAGTATTTGGTCAATAACAAAAGTTTCTCAATACTTTGTTATATACCCTTTGTTGGCAATGACACAGGTCAAACGTTTTCTGTAAGTCTTCACAAGGTTTTCACACACTGTTGCTGGTATTTTGGCCCATTCCTCCATGCAGATCTCCTCTAGAGCAGTGATGTTTTGGGGCTGTCGCTGGGCAACATGGACTTTCAACTCCCTCCAAAGATTTTCTATGGGGTTGAGATCTGGAGACTGGCTAGGCCACTCCAGGTCCTTGAAATGCTTCTTACGAAGCCACTCCTTCGTTGCCCGGGCGGTGTGTTTGGGATCATTGTCATGCTGAAAGACCCAGCCACGTTTCATCTTCAATGCCCTTGCTGATGGAAGGAGGTTTTCACTCAAAATATCACGATACATGGCCCCATTCATTCTTTCCTTTACACGGATCAGTCGTCCTGGTCCCTTTGCAGAAAAACAGCCCCAAAGCATGATGTTTCCACCCCCATGCTTCACAGTAGGTATAGTGTTCTTTGGATGCAACTCAGCATTCTTTGTCCTCCAAACACGGCAAGTTGAGTTTTTACCAAAAAGTTCTATTTTGGTTTCATCTGACCATATGACATTCTCCCAATCCTCTTCTGGATCATCCAAATGCACTCTAGCAAACTTCAGACGGGCCTGGACATGTACTGGCTTAAGCAGGGGGACACGTCTGGCACTGCAGGATTTGAGTCCCTGGCGGCGTAGTGTGTTACTGATGGTAGGCTTTGTTACTTTGGTCCCAGCTCTCTGCAGGTCATTCACTAGGTCTCCCCGTGTGGTTCTGGGATTTTTGCTCACCGTTCTTGTGATCATTTTGACCCCATGGGGTGAGATCTTGCGTGGAGCTCCAGATCGAGGGAGATTATCAGTGGTCTTGTATGTCTTCCATTTCCTAATAATTGCTCCCACAGTTGATTTCTTCAAACCAAGCTGCTTACCTATTGCATATTCAGTCTTCCCAGCCTGGTGCAGGTCTACAATTTTGTTTCTGGTGTCCTTTGACAGCTCTTTGGTCTTGGCCATAGTGGAGTTTGGAGTGTGACTGTTTGAGGTTGTGGACAGGTGTCTTTTATACTGATAACAAGTTCAAACAGGTGCCATTAATACAGGAAACGAGTGGAGGACAGAGGAGCCTCTTAAAGAAGAAGTTACAGGTCTGTGAGAGCCAGAAATCTTGCTTGTTTGTAGGTGACCAAATACTTATTTTCCACCATAATTTGCAAATAAATTCATAAAAAATTATACGATGTGATTTTCTGGATTTTTTTTTCTCATTTTGTCTGTCATAGTTGACGTGTACCTATGATGAAAATTACAGGCCTCTCTCATCTTTTTAAGTGGGAGAACTTGCACAATTGGTGGCTGACTAAATACTCCCCCCCCCCCCCCCACTGTATATGTACAATCAGAAACATTATGGTAGTTTTTCTCAAGATATTAACATTTTAGATTTTAGTAATTTAGCAGACGCTCTAATCCAGAGTGATTTACAGGAGCAATTAGGGTTAAATGCTTTGCTCAAGGGCACATTGACAGATTTTTCACCTAGTCGGGCAGGGATTCAAACTAGGGACCTTTCAGTTGCTGGCCCAACGCTCTTAACCGCTAGGCTACCTGCTGCCTGTGTTGATTCTCTTTTTGTTGGTTCCTAAACCATCTTTCAACCTATTTACAACAGGCCCAACATTTTATATTTGACTGTTTCTAAGAGCTCTTGGCAAGCACATTGTGATCTCACTATTTTTGGATGAGATAAACATTTGATGTGTTTTGTTTTTGTTTATTTCCTAACAGAATCCGTAAGATAAACGGTGTGTTTGTGTTTGGAGACCCTGAAGTATCCGTGGTGGCAATAGGCTCTGACGTCTTCGACATTTTTCGTTTATCCAACGCACTGACGTCAAAGGGTTGGAATCTCAACACGCTACAGTATCCATCCAGGTATGTTTTCTCATCTTTTTCTCATCTTTGAAATTCAGGCATACTTATCAATGCTATTGTATACATTTCATAGAATATTGACTATGCACCTTATTTTGAAGTAATACCAGCAAGCAAAGACCCCCAGGCATGATATCACCATGTTGATATTTTTTTTAAAGTACTTTTGTGTTTTTAAACAAAATTATATCTTTCCCATCACAGCATCCATATCTGTTGTACTGTACTGCACACACATGAAGGTGTGGCCAAACAGTTAATCAGTGACGTCAAAGAGCAGGTGGCTCTCATTTTGAAGAACCCCAATGAGAAGACCACTGGAATGGTGAGTGTTAATGCTGACTCCGTTACCTGGAATACACTACACAGCAGTGCACCATATTAATCCATTAATTTCATGTCATATAAATTGGCTTCACATGCAGACATATTTGTTTATATTTTTATATGCAAACACTTTGGATAAATGGCTCTACATTCATGTGTTCATGTTCTAGGGAGCAATCTATGGCATGGCCCAGTCCATCCCTGACAGATCCATGGTGACAGAGATCTCCCGAGGCTTCCTGGACTGCCTCTACAGCACAGAGGAGCCCAAGTCGTCTCAGCCTCAGAAGACCTATATGAATGGCAACAGCAACGGCAAGGCCCACTGAGTCAGGAGTAGGCTGGCTGTGGCCTGGACACATGCCTAGGTCATGTTCATTAGGGAACATAATGGTAAGCGTTGTAAAACTTTTTGCAACAGCAAATGAAAAGGAACATTTACTGGAGAAGTTCAAGTAGTCCCTCCCTGTTTCAGTAATTTTTTTTCCGGTTGGTGCCTAATGAACACGACCCTGGTTACCAGCCTGCCTCACCTCTTGTCCACCCACTACATCACTCAACATATCCTGCCCACCTTTTATCTATCTACTCACCTTTTTTCAGATATGTTCTGAAGCACAAGCCATTGTTTTTAGCTATCGTGAGGAGAATTGTTCAAATATTTAGAAAGTGAAAGCACATATTGTAAAATACATAGAATAGTTGCTCAAACCCTTAAGGGGGGTTTTGGTCTGGTTGTGTTAATTGTCCCCCACGATGAAACCGGGGATGGGACTGTTGATCTGTCTCTGTCCATTAGTACATTCATACGTTAGTCACACGCGATATCTCAGACAGCACTGGCCCGATTTTGACAACTTGTGTGAATGATGATTCTTGCCATAGGGAGCCGGCATTTACAAAAGTACCCTGATTGGCCAGATGGTGCCGCTAACACAAGATTGAAAATGCAAACTTTAAAAGGTCACGCCCCTCACTCTGTTATACCTAAAGTCATTACATTCGGAACATAGGTCCCTCTCCTCACAAGGAACAGATTTACCTCAGGGACCCATAAGGTCTGCCATGATAGATTTTCCGCCATTTTGAATTTTGTGAAAAACACTTAAAATGCTACTCTTCTGGCACCGAATGAGCAATCAGCACGAAACTTAATATGTGGCATCTATGGACAAAGGTCTCTCAGCGCAATATTTTCCAGACTAGTACCTCAAACAACATGGCCACTATTGAGTCTAGCTAACCCACGCAATATTTTGACGAAACATGGGTGAATTATGTGTCTTTAATAAAGGTTTGTGGTCATACGCACATCCTTAAAAACGTAGGTGCTGGGTTAATGAAGAATAATTGTAAAGAACAGGAAAGCCTGCACACTGTTTATGCTCCCAATTCACAGCTTATTGACAACGTTTCGATCCGAAGCAGATATTCCTCCAGTCAAACAGACTGAGTGCTCACATCCCAAAATATACACATTTCACCTCACATGACCATTACACACATCACGCATGGTGGGTGTGGAGACAATTCAATTCACTTTTGCGCATAGTCAATCATAATTAATCACAGAGGTACATATGGTCATAAAGGATTACATACATAAAAATCGGTCAGAGTTAAAACGTAGGCAACCGTAAAAATATTATTTTGGAAACTGTTGGAATACCCAACAATATGACCATTACGCACAGGTCGGGCAGTGGCCGTAGATATAATCAAAAACAACTTGCGTACCTCTAATAATTTGATGTCAATGAGATGGGCACATGTAGTAGTTACAGAAAATCAAATATATACATATGTACAAAATTACCAAGTGGAGACCTGGATGGCAAGACAAAACATATTCATGTAAGTAATGGTCAGATATCAAACTCTTGGTTCAGACCTTTAGGAGACATGGTGGACAAACGGTGAATCCAATACAATTCTCTTCTCAGTAATAGATGATCAATATCTCCCCCACTCCTAGTAGCCTTAACATGTTCGATACCAATGTATCTCAGAGATCTGATGTTGTGACGAGCCTCCATGAAATGCGCAGCCACAGGGTTTCTCTGATCAAGAGTCTTGATATTACTCCTGTGTTCTGCTATCCTTGTTTTCAGAGAACGTTTCATTTTTCCTACATGGCATAGATCACAAATACACTTTATCAGGTATACCACATTTGTAGAACACGTAATGATACCCTTAATCTTAATGGCCTTGCCCATGATGGGGTGATTTGAACATTGTGCATTTGTTCGTTAAATTACACTGGATACATCGGCCACATCTTGAATTACCGTCCAGCACATTGTCTAGGAAGGTGCTACGTGACACCGATGGAAGATCAGACCTCACCACCATTTGGCTGATGTTGGGGGCGCGTCTGAAGACTACCCGGGAGGGTTCCTTTAAACGTTTTTCCCAGTTGTGGGTCAGTGCTCGAGATGTGTACGTTTTTTTTAAAGATATGGTCGAACTGTTTGCCAAGTGGGGATTATTGAAGGAAGCGTTGGACTCGTTAGTCAGGGGGGCGGGATGGTTTGGGAGTGAGGCTGTCATCCTGGGTCATATTTCTGTAACGGTGGTCCCGTGCATCATGCAGCTATTCCTCTGGGTAACCCAGCTGTCTGAAGTGCTCATCCAGACTGTGTGCTTGTTTGTCATAGTCACTCTGTGTACTACAGATCCTGCGTATGCAACTGTATAGGCTGATAGGGAGGCTCTTAAGGGTGTAGGGTGGAAGCTATCTCTGTGTAACAGGGAATTCCTGTTCCGTCGGTTTCCTATATAGGTCTGTGCTAAAGCCACCCCCCCTCCCTCTTTAGCAAAATGTCTTGCCATAAAGATCCAGCATTTACAAAATTACACTGATTGGCCCAAGGGGGGCACTATAGTAATCAACTGTATGTACAGCCTTTCCTATTTTGTTCTCTATTGCTCCTCTAAGGGAGAGGCCGATGACATCACAGATTTCCATCAGACCAACTCCTTTGAAGCCCTACTCCTTGAATTTTGCTCCCCAAATATTTTTTTTTACCCTTTAGTGTGTGTACTTTACTGTATTTATACTTGGGATATCGCTTTTCAACAGTCAAAGTAAAAAAATCACCGGAGGACATCTTTAATGCTCAATGTTCCAGGTACAACATAGTGATTGTCAGTCTCTGTTTGATTAATCTACAACAAATAGTGGTTTTAACTAAAGAGCACTGTAATGTCCTAGTGAAAGAAATACCCTATGAACAGGAAGGAGCAATGTTCTCTGCATGGATTTGTAAGGACAACATACTTGAATCATTTTCAAGACTTGAGCCCATTTTGAATTTAATATATTACCTTCCTAGGCTCTTGTACTAAATTGCATATATACATGTATTCCTAATTGTGGTCTATTTGTGGCTAATTGCATCTTTCAGTAATAATTTAGACAGCAGGAAACCCTGGCTGCTGTAGTACATTACCTAGTATACTGTACACCGCCAATATGTTAAGAATCTGAGACTGCAATCCTCTGATTTGATAACATATTCATTACCCACCTCTATTCTTCGAGACAATGGTTTAGTCCTTAATTGAATGGTTTAGCCCTGAATTGATCTCAAGGAACAGAATACAAATTATTTCAGTATCTTTATAAGATGTAAAGTCTCCATCAACTCAGTTTTAACAGTTTATGTGTTCTTGTAGCTAATTAATTGATTTGGCTTCTAATTTTATCTACCTCAGTTTCTGTTCAATGCAATTGTGTTGCTTGTTCACACGGTCATTATAGGTCTAAAGAAGAAAAAAAGCCTGTCTCAGTTTTTCATATGTAACATTTCAACTTTTCAGACTAAACTGTTATGGCATTTGATAAACTGCATTGTTCTTAAAAAGCAATAATACTGGCATAAAACTGTTTGCAAAAAAATTTAAGAACTGGATGTGCACTTGGTAGGCCCCCCAAAAAACCTTTAAATGATCTTTCCCCTCAATATTTTCCATGTGCTTTCACGTTTGTGTTTGTAGTCAATCTTAAGTGCATATCCACTGTTTTCTTTTCAAGTCTCTAGCTAGGTTTCTATCCAATTGGCAACAGATTTTCATGCGAATATTCTAAAATTAACTTATAGAAAATACTGTGTACTCATTTTCCCACCAGTGATGTTTTTCCACCAAACAGACCTGTTGGGGATAAAAATCAGTGCGTGATGACGTAGGGCACACGTTTTCTTTTTCGCTTAAGTTTATGTACCGAATAAAAAATCTAAAGTTCAATGCGTTTCCATCGCATTTTCAACTCTACGGATAGTTTTGTCACAAACTGTTGCGTTAAATAGCAAATGTGCCTACTCTGGTCTTGGCACTTGCGCTCTAGCCAACAGCTTACAGATAAAGTGCGAGTAGGCTGTGCGTGTAGGCTAGATATAATTATGCATATTAATATTTTTTATTTGGCAAGCATCGATCATCATGTCATCAGGATATGACCCTCGATATTTAATGAAAGTTGAATCAAGATCACCGTGCACTTTCACCACCCTGTGATGTTCATCACAATTTAGTTAATCTGTAGCCTAATAAACGCTATGGTTTTCCAAGTTGTAGTGGGAGGACCACACTATCATCGCGTGACTCCAAGTTTACTTCGATATGATGGTTGTTATATTTCTATTTAGCGCATTAAGGCGTTTCCACCCCGATTTCTCGCACAATACATTTTACATACACAAAAGGATCACACGATGTCGAACGAATGATCAGTCGGCATTTATTAAATTGTACCGACACTTCCTGTTTACATCACAGTTGTCGTGATTTTTAAAAATACTTTATGACTTTACTCACATAAAAACCTGTGGATGGAAACGTGGTTTGGGTCGTAGATGTTTTACTTTCTGGAGTCATAAGAAGGGAAATAGTCAACGTTATGATGATGCGATGGCTTTTAAATCATACCATTGACTTTTAGCCCAGACCTGTTGTATAATTCTTAAGCATTGTCTATGTGTGACCAATGTGTTATTATTCTTATTAATCACTAATGTCATTTTTCATTGTTTTCTTATCTGCAAGGATTGTGTTTTTGTTTTTGACAATGTGGGCATGAACTACAGGGTAAATACTAGTTTGTTCTTTGATTGGTTTTCTAGCTCAAAATCAATGCTTGATTATTTAGCAGGGACTAAATTGTCAAAGATCTGACAATGGGTAGTTTCTATTTTTCGGTGGAGCCATCAATTGGGAAATAACCACTAATATGTTGTGACATTTTAATAGCCAGGATTATATTCAGTTGCAATAGAAACATATTGCATGTCCTTTTGCAAATGATTGTGATAGTGTTAGTACCTGAGAAATTGCTGCTTAGTGCTTACCCCACCATATAGTCTGTAAATTGTACAGTGAGAATCTGTAAAATTTATAAATGTACAGTGTAAATCTTAACAAAGCACCTTGCCCTCAAGGAGGTAGGGTAAAGATCATGCCTTCTGTTGTTATTGTCTAAGGGCATAATCTTCATAGCAATAAATCACATTCACCTGTATGCCTTCAGAGGCCAGATTGATGAGGGCTATTGGGTAATGCCAATGTATAGATCCCTAAAAATATAATCTCTATAAAATGTAGATTATATTTATATGTATCGATCAGCCTCAGGGATTTGGCTTCTCAACATCAAGTTCAGTAAGGTCCAGTTCTCTTTTATACTGTACATGTAAATGTTGTTCATTTGAAATATATAATTAAATGTTTTGAAAATCCAAAAATATAGTGGCATGAATTTGTAGCTATTTGTGCTATTGTGTAGTTTCTTGCTACCCTTCATTATTCCAGAGAAAACCCATTTGGAAAGCATTTGTTGGCCATGGCTACACTACTTTCAGCATGCAGGAAGCTGAGCACCATAACATTTTCAATAAACCCACAACAGCTGTTTCATTTGTTGTTTTTAGAGAAATTCATTCAATGTGATGAAACCTTGTTTAAAATATGATTTCTAGGAGGGGTGAAATATTCTGAGGCTGACCCCATTTGACCCCATTTGTCTGTAGGCCACACTTTGGACAAATGAATAAATAAACACTTACCGGTTATTCAAATTTTTTTATTTGTCACTTACAGTACAAAACACTACACAGAGGAAAACAGTTTCAGACAAACAGACTAGACAGACTGACAACAAAGTCAGTGTTTTATGTAGAACATTTGTTTGAAAGTGACTGGAATTAACAAGTGAAGGAATTAATAGATTTTCCCCAGATTTCAAAGGTTTAGAGTCAGAGTAATATATACCTTAGACGCTTTTGATTTTACATTACCTGATTCCACTCAGTTAGGGACAGAGGAATGTTTGATATACAGTATCTATGGTCTTTTTACTGGCTCATGGTCTGTTGCTCATAAATCCACTTTCCACCAAAGCAATTTTTTAAAGATATATTTGGCTTCATCAGTCTATCAACAAACACCACACCAGCAAAATGTTTGGGAATTGAAAGTGACCTGTAAACATTAAATATTAATTGGGATTCTGTGATGTACTTTCCTGTTTGATCATTTCCTGTTCCTGTTAAAGGTTAGTCATCTGAATGAACGTATGGAGAGCGATGAATAGGCATGCTCTGCTCTGGGTTCCACCATTGAAATGACTGGAACTGAAATGACGGGCGCTGACAGACTGAAATGGCAGCAGGCCATGAGTTGCTTAGAGGACAGATGCTTGGTCAATGAAGGTAGCCAAAGTGATGTCTCTCTGAGAGAGGCCCCCACAGTCATGTGTGCTGAGTGTGATCTGGACCTGGGAGAAAGGAGAAGATGAAGTGTGGATAAGGATGGGCGACAGCAGGAAAGACATGGTAAATGCAACCCAGAATGACAGGAATGGGTGAGAATGAGACATACAGAGGGACATTCAAATGAAAAAAATGTCAAGTCACAACATACCTTTCACAACTAGTGATGCTAACAGGTTTGTCTATATCTATTTTACCCCAGGCAATCTTAGTGGGCCTTGGGCGGGGGCTTATTGAAATACCTTGTTGTACACGTTAAACCACTCAGGGTGATGGTCCATCTTCTCAGCTTGCAGTGCCACACTGGACATGAAGCCAAAGGCCTGTGATAAAATAGCAGATTATACTTCCAAGTCCTTACTGTCACAATCAAGTAATATGCATTGTATAGCCTACAGCCATTTATTAGCAAGTTTCTTATTTTGTTTGGTCACGTGACGTCACATTGTCCGAAAAAAATCGGTGCCTGTATTCAAAACGCGTCTAAGAGAAGGAGTGCTGATCTAGGATCAGTTTAGACTTTTAGAACATAATGAATAAGATAGCATGGACAGAGAGGACCTGATCCTAGATAATCACAGACGCTTTATGAATATTGGCCCTGAGCCCTAGATTGAGTATATTGTCCAAGCCTTTCTGACCTGGTTAAAGTCTTTGAAGATGAACTCTTTGTAGATGGCATCCCTCCCAACCACCTCCACCCACTGGGCATTCCGTAGCAGGGGGAGTAAGTGGTCTCTCTCCTCCTCACTCAAACCCTGGATTTTACTGGCCTGGAAGAGCAAAGCAAACATTCACCGGGTGCCAATGTGAAGGGGCAGTTGCACAAATGCAAACTGTGATTGGTTGCAGAGAAGCTCATCTGGAATCAATAGAGTGTTGCATAGCATTCCTGAGGCCTGTTCGTAAGGGCGCAACGTTACAGAACATTCAGATAGAAATGTGTTTTGTAGAACAAGACATGTACAATTACCTGTTATGTAGAATTGGGAATTGTGTCAGCTCTATTAATACAATTTATTTCTGCAACATCTATTAATACAATTTATTTCTGCAACATTCTGAACGTTTCACCCTAACTAAAAACACCCTGGTTTCAAAATGGGGGAGGCTTCATTGCATTCTCTGTATCGCTTCAATAGAATTCCCATAGAGATAGATAGAGGACTCTAGTGCCCAAAAGCCCGTTTTAGCATGGGTAGAGGACTTTCACCATTTGGAAGTAGTCAACTGAGTGGGACTTCCTATGGGTTAAGGAAGGATCACATAATTCCATCCAGATCACCAGGAGGGATCAGCCAATTAATTATACTTGTGATGAAACATTCCATAACTGCAGGTGGCAGTAAATTGCCAACCTTGACTTTATACCTGTTCAAACACACTCTATCTGGCAGTGTGCACACTTTCAGTTTGTTTGCCAACTCATTGAAGTAGTAGAAGAAGAAAATTGACTACTTCAAAATGGAGATGGCATCAAAGGCGCTGCCCATGCTCTCACAGACACCATAATAGGACAGATATAACGATGCAATGTCTATCTAAGTCTATGGGAATTCCACAGCTCTGTCCACATGATGTAGTATCACATGAGCTTTAAACTCAGTTCATTCTGAAAGGTAAGTCAAAAAGGAGGGTTATGTCAGCTGCAGTTGTGAACGGAAAAGGCACAGGCTATGTAGTGCAATAATAAGCAAATCACTCATCTTCAACAAATTTGTGTTATAGATTAAAAGGCATGCAACTGAATGAATGAAGGGGGGTATTTTTAAGAGGATTTGTCAATGCCCACAAATGAACCGTCATGGTGTTGAGCCAACATGGACACAAAGCAAACATATCTCAGCAACATGCTAATCTGTTCTATCTGAGAAGCGCTGACAGATTTTGGGGACAGCGCATTGAGCACAGGCAGACAATAACCTGAGGCTTCAACCTAATGTCATTCAATGATTGGCTGCATAGAGACTGTTCCTGTCAGGAAAATAATATGTTTTATAGCAAAACAACAAATATATACACTTTAGGTGCCATCTCTCATGTTATAAGACTGACACAGTATTCTGTTCGTCAAATATTATATTTGGCACAATCAAATGATCAATCAACAGTAAAAGCTCATATTGCTTCATCTTCAGTATCTATTGAAGACAGCAACATAACTATGCAGTATGCCAACAGGTGTGTCAGGCAGAATACAGTTGGCACGTGGCTGTAAGAGGCGTCCTCTGATAACATTGAAGCAATTCACTCACCATGGTCTTTGGCTGTTCTCAGAGAGACAGAGGGCTCTGCTTCTGCTTGTTTCACTTGCACAGAGCCAATCTGCTATTGCAGTTAGCAGCTGGAATGCAAGCGGGGGTCCTGTTTTAGCTGTCCATGCAGAAGCCTGAAGAGAAATGACCTCTGCTGGTTATACTGCCCAGCTTGTCTTCAGCATGGCCATCATCATAAAAATAAACGCCATTTCTCTAGCCAGTCTTTATGAGAGAAAATTGAAAAGGGCATCCATGTAGGAATATGTTTTCTTTGTGAAAGAATGATGAGACATTATGGTCTCATATAGAACAGCACTCACTGTAAACAAAAATCATTGATTGATGTCATTCACATGAGTGTAGGATAATAACGTTCAATAGTTTACTGTGATGAAGAAGTAGACTTCGCTAAATGAAGACCCATATGTCAGAGCGAGTCGACGGTTACCTCTGTCCCACTGTCATGGTCCAATGCAGGTCAAAGTTTAATGAGTTGCCCTACTGTGAGATAACCCCTGTGAACTCAGCCCTCACAGGGAGCGCTCAGGGAAATGAACTAGTTAATGAAATGAACAGAGGGAGAGGATGTGACAAGTGATAATGTTAAATGGCTGAATGAGTGTAGGAAATTAATATGCTGCTTCAGTGGTTTGGTTTGGTTTGGTTTGCACTGCAAAGGATTTGTTCATGTGCATACATTGAGTGGCTAGACCTTAAGGTAGATGGGTTTGGGTTGAGTAGTGGGGGATGTTATACTGATAGAGGGTTGTTTGAGCTCTCTTCTTTCCCCCAAATGATATCACCTTAGAATGTGTCTCCCTCTCATCTGTATCTCCTTGGGTGTAAGACAGACCCTGGGATGGTACAGCAATAGAATCTCAAAACCAAAATAACAACGCACACATTCATGTTCATATTGCATGGGTTTCAAATGTGTGGGTAAAACCTTTAAGTGACATGTACTATGAATACCCACTTCATAATGCATTATAAACACACGTATAACTCCTTATGTGACTGTTCATGTTGTCTTATCCTCTCAATCTGACCCAGAAGACACTCCAAGCCAAATGAGAGGAACTACTCTACATGCATGCATGCATACTGCCCTTTAAACACTGTTTGTATCTGTAGCTGTCATAAAGATGAGTGGCAGTGGAATTGTTTTGTAGTAGGAAATGGAGCCCAGAAGAATTCTAACACAGACCCTATTTTTGCTCCTTCTTACAACTGAGCTAAATGAAGGACAGCATAATGCAAAGTCGTATTCAGGTGAGTGTTCTCATTCAGGGGTAAGGGTGCCAGAGGTGGTCTTATTTTGATGTCCAACAGAGAATGTATAAGACTGTGTATGCATAGGCATGCTATTTACAGTGCCTAAAGCCTGCTTTGTCTTTATGATTCAGATAAAGCTTTTTAATGTCATTGTAAATGACTGTATCAGTATTTTATGAATCCATTGTTTTTAAGACTGCCTGCATTGAAAATGGACCTGGCATGGCTTACGGTCCATAACCTGCTACCAACCTAAGTTGATGTCCTCTACACCTCTGATTACTGTTACAAGGTACAGTGTCTGTCTATAAATTCTACAAGGTTGAAAAGGGTAAAAAGGTCAACTATAGATTTAAAGAGAGGTAACAATATCTTTAGGTAAAAATGTAAAAAGACAGTTTCATATTTTAGCTTCATTCACAGGTGTAACAATGCTCAGTAAATCTGGTCCTGAGTGCACATGCTTGCATATTTGTATGAAACAAAGAAAGTCATACATACAGTGTTTGATGGTGACATCATGCCCAAACATCACAAACCTGTTCCTTTTTAGAATCTGCTCAACCTGTTTTCTCTCCCATTCAGGGTCTGTACCAGCCCCTGGTCAGTGTTCTAAATGGCCCCCAGAATACATCTGTCGTGGTCAGCACCGTCCTCACTCTGACACTGCAGTTACAACCAATGGGCAGAAACACAATACACACAAAGCAATACATATCAACTGCCATAGACATTGTTGCCATCAATGAGCAACATACATGACTTAAAACATTATATACATAGACTTTAATTAGTATGCTAAACATTCCAGATAACATCATGATTTGTAGGTAAATCACTACACATTCTAGTTCCTTGTGTTTCGATAATTAGATTCCTCTCTCATAGTGGATTGGCTGCAGGTCTGTAACCTTCCCAGATCTTGACACGGAGCAGAATATACTGCATTGGCATTCTGATGATTGCATTTGCAATCCATGAGATTATTTACTGGGGTGGGAGTGTAATCCTGACCTGCTTTCTGAGACTGACTGATGCTTCTGCTGAAATTACCTCGCCGCGTATTGATCAGAGGCCCTTTTTGGGGTTAATAGGAGCTGACACTCCAATAATGATGGAAAGAGCCATTAAGCCTGCGAAGATACCGGTGGAAACCTCAGAAGGGATGTTCTACAAGAAGAGGCAGTGGCCGTATTTATAAACAATCAGAGCGTTACAAGACATCAGGGAAGAGCATTGACATTTGGGGGTCACCCTTAAACATGCTCCAAGGGATCTGGTTTCACAGGACAAGGCAGGGGCAGGTTTCTCTTCTCCTCTTCAGTTGAGGTCTAGTCTTGGACTTCCTATAGATCAATGCTGAGGTCCCTAACCAGAGTGAGCCACTATCGATATCCTTTTCCCCTTTAAAAAAACACTCAAAGTGATAGCTAGAATGTCATCCCCCAGTCGATCAATAGGAGCTTGTAATGTACATTTGGGGGGGTGGGGGGGGGGGGGGGGGGGGGGGTGAAACTGGAGACATACAGGATACAGCTGAAGGCTGCACTACTGGCTTATGGACACTAAGTGTCCCCCACGAGCTACATTGATTCCTGTGAGGACCCTTCAGAGGGGATAATAATAATTAGTCATTTAGCAGACGCTCTTATCCAGAGCGACTTACAGGAGCAATTAGGGTTAAGTGCCTTGCTCAAGGGCACATCAACAGATTAGAACCAGCGACCTTTCGGTTACTGGCACAACGCTCTTCACCACTAAGCTACCTGCCGCCCTAGCGGAAATGACCATTTACCACTAAGGTCAAAGGGAAATTCATACTAATGTGTACTGTAGTAATGTCGAGTGAATGTAATGATGAGCGGGTTATTCGTTGCCTTTGCATCTTCCCGCTATTGAGTGCATTGTTGTTGATACAGGTATAGAGTCTCCCATCAATGTCACCTGCTACCATACTGTGCATGTCAGTCCAAGTAACAACAATTTGTGTGAATTTCCTGTCATTTTGAAAACAAAATATTTAGAACAGCATCCTTTTTTAAACTTTAGATACTCATACTTTACCGCAAATTATTTTTTCAGAAAATTATTTTACTGAAAATGTCCAATCAATTGGACAAGATGATTTAAGATATGGACTTTTTGTGTTTTTATGGACTTGTTGTGACCACAATTATTTAGTACAGTGGATGATACCTGTTTAATATGGCAAATGTCAACAAAAGTGAAGTAGACAGTAC